CTTCGCCTTTCGCCCCAGAGATGAAGCGCTCTAATGAAATTACAAGGCAGTAGTGGCAATGCCGGAAGTTGGGGGGGAGAGGTGGCTTCCTTTAGAGCCGAAAGGGGGCTTTTTGCCCTGGAATGGAAGCGAATGCTCCATGCGGAGTCCGCACAAGACCCCGTAAGCCAAAGTGGCAGTGGGAAGTCAACTAAAACTAAGCTCATTTAATGCGTTGCATAAGCGACAAGCGCGGGCGGCGATGCCGGCAAACACTCGCAAACCTAGGCGGAGAAATACCAACACACATACCTTCAGACAGACAGACAGAGAGGCAAATAAACAAACAAACAAACACAGAGAATGCACCTACAAACCGGAAACAGGCGACAAGAAGAAGAACGCAATGGAGGATAACACGAAAACATGAGAGGAAAAGGATTCAGTTCGTAGACCGAAGCTGGGAGTACGCTTTCGGAGGATTTGAAGTTAGAGAATGTTATAAAGTATAATATAATATTATTTTCTAGATAATGCAAAATATTAACAATCTCTTCTTTTATATTTTGATCCTTGGAAATATATACAAACATAAATGCCACTGAAATTTCAATGCAGTTTCCTTCAGGTTACAAAAATAAATCATGTCTTCTTTATATTCCTTTCTAGACAATCCAAATATCTATGTACTCAATTCTCAAGATTCCCTTCTAAACAAAGTAATGTTACTTTCTAAAAGAGTGCAAACAGCACGCTCTCAAGCACGCCGGCATTTTGCACTTTTACGTTTATCCTGAGGATAATTTAACACCCCATACAAATGCAAACAAATGAGCGCAGCCAAGCCCTCTAACAAATACGAGTATAAACGTGTGAAAAAAACAACATTTATTTACTTGCAAGTAATACCCCGGTAATGGGTTTTTAAAACAAATCCGCTGCGGGCCTGTAAATGAACTCGCTTTTCCTCCCTCCTCCTCCTCGCTTTTTTCTCTCCTCTGTGTGGCAATTAAATTTCAAATATCAACACAGAGCCAGAGAGTGGGAAAGTGTCATTATATAGTTAATTAAACAAACATTTTGTGCAGATAAAACGCTTTAATTAATGCTCTTACAGCACTCGAATAACCTAGCAGAAGTTGGCATTAAATCTCCTCCATTCTCACCTGTCCCTCACCTGGCATTGGAATTCTTTTCGTGCCTGCGTGTGTTGTGTGTCATTTGAGCCCGATGATGTGGGTCTTTTTGGGCCACTCGATGGGATTGTTGTTATCGGGGTTTAAGGGGAAATATATACATATTAAAATAATAATGCAGGAGAGGAAGCCATTAAAAATAATCAGTTGGGACATTAATCAAAAGTAATTATATGGCAATGTCCACAGAAAGGTGGAGCTTTTATTACCACAAGGTCAATAAACTTTAATTTGGTCAAGTGGTTAACATTAAACTGTGAAAAAATAATTATGAAAGGTATTATGCATGGAACTTACAAAGGGAATATTTTATTATATGTGGCTTTAATCATTTTTGTATTAAGTAATTAAATTAATTAAGAACCATTCATGTTAACCTCTTTACAGAGTTTGTTTTTATTTACAAGAAGATCCCATTTTTAATTCCTATGAAAATCTAAGAAACTTGGGGACCTACATAACTTTTATAACATAACCCTTACCATATTCCCTTGACAACTCTCCAGGACATCACTCTTTCGACTTTCCAGTTTTCCGACTTAATTTTCCTTCTTGAAACGCTGCTCCACTTTCCTTCCTTTTGTTCGTGAATATATATATATGTTGTCCACGAGCTGTCGCTGGGCGTGCGATTTTTCAATATCCGGGAACGGGCGGGACCATAAATGACCACTTTGATGGGCTTGCTGGCTGCAGAATCCTGGCCTTCACTCCAAAAAACGGAGACCCCATGCCGGGTGACACATGGTCTCGTGTTGACGCGCCATAAAATATGCAATGCATGCAGTGTGTCAGCGTTTTAACCGCCCAGCAGCCACCCATTCACCACCCCCCAAAACCACTCCGTGTGGCCCCACCTGGTTTTATTTTAACCCCACCACACCTGCAGCCTTCCATAACTCAGCGGGACGGGGAGGTGAAGGAGGTAAGGCAGGGAGGAGGCGTTGCGGCGGAAGGCCAAAAGTCACTTCGTTTTTTGTCAGGCCCATCGCACAAAACTATCAATAATATGCCACACCCACAGGCAAACCATATTTCCCCACACAGCACACTTGGGGTTAAAATAATAGTTATTGTTATGCTGAGGTTGTTTGCTTAACCTTTCTTCAGGTTTGCAGGAGTTTAAATTACAGAAAGAGATGGCTAAAAGTGGGCAATGATTTATTTTAAATAAATCACTAGAGTTGCATCTAAGTAGATAATAATTTATGTCATGAATTACTTATTTATGTTATATTCTTGAACTCTAATTCAACTTCTGTTACATTCTTAAAGCTGCTTGAAACCCTCTCAAAATAAGCTTAATTTTTATTAAGAAACATGATGAAAGTTATTCCAGATCTTTCCCATTTTAAACCCTATTATTTCAACCAATATTGTACGTACATTCCACGTGACTGTTTCGGCCCGCTGGAGCACCACATTCAGACATATATAAACTGTTTTGCTTTATGACTTTTATATGCAGCCGAGCGACGGGGGCAGTTGCAAATATTTTTAATATGCTTCGGCGAATGTGGCCGCCACTGAACAACAAAACAATACAAAAAAAATGTTTAAAAAAATTCGAACGGGGCAATGGGGCAGCCATTGGGTTTTTTTGACGTCCCGTTTCAGGTTTTTACGTGTGTCCTGGCCCTCTTAAATGGTGGAAACACCGCTTGGCATATTGAATAAAGTGGACAACCAGCAATATTTTTTGGGAAAAAGGGATCGCTGGAGGTGGCTTTGGTTTAGGGTTTGTGGGGTCTGAGCTTTTGGTTTTTGGCATTGGCTTTGGTTTTTGTTTAGCTTTAAAATCCACTAAATGGCCGGTGAACAGGATGTGCAGGATCCAGTATCAAGTATCCAGGATGCCGGTCTGCTGGTCGCTGTGTACGCAGCAGGATATACCCGAAACCAAAACCGACATTTGGTCCCCGCATATGCATATGCATTCCAGATGTAGGGGGGAGAGAGAGGAAAAGCTGAAAGGGGGGAGAAATGCACAGAGACAGACATGAAATTCAATCAATTGGAAATTCCATATCAGTGAAAATATTTTAATATTTATGCAAAATATTTACGCAGAAGGGAGGGAACTCTGTGTGCGTGGTGAGCGTGGAGCGTTTAGCAGGTTTACCCAGCGAAAATAATAATATTGAAATTGATTTTATTCATAAGAACGTTGAATATTTATGCAGCCATGCTCAATGTAATTATTGCATTGGTTCTGACCCGTTCTGGTTGTAAGTGCTGCTGGTTATGTAAATTGAAATGAATTACGAATAATGGTGCTGGTTAAAAGGTAACTAACATACAAGAGGCGTGGGTAAACATATTATTAAATGTGGAAATAAATGCTCCTGGATTTATGCTTTGATTAAAAGCAATCTAAGCCTTATCTAGGTTTCAGCTCACGTTCACGTTGGAACTCGAAAGGCATTGCCTTTATTTCTGTCACCCATTCTCCGTGTCTCTATGGCAAACAGCTTTTGACAGCCGGATGTCAAATGCAGTTCTGCAGCTGCCTTGGGATCCTGGGATCCTGCTTGGATTTCCTCTTGCGTCTCATTTCCCGACACACACAAACATTCTCAATGAATGTCACATTTGACAAGCGCTCGCTCTCTTTCGTTCGCCATGTTTGTTTCCGCTTTGACAGTTATGGCGCGTAGCTGTTTCACAATGTTGGTGATATCAATAATCTAATGGGAACAAGGATCACAGTAAAAATAAGTGCAAATAGGACTTTAATAAAAGGAAGGAAATATGTAAAGAAATAGTAAAGGGGTGTGAAGGATTGTCTACTTTACGATTCTTTTATATTTTATCAATATTAAAGCTTTAATATATATATTTTTTTTCGGCATGACTGTAAACATTGGAATTTAGAATTTGTAAGAGGAAGATATAGATATACATATATATATTGGATAAATATAGATTTAAAAAATGTGAATATACGACATTTTTTAAATCTATATTTATCGATCTTTCAATGACAATTTGTTCGAGAAATCAAAGTTTAAAAACCTCATAACTAAGCTAAACAAGCATTAATTTCAATTCGGAAAGCTTTCCCATGTTAGTTTTTATGAGGTTTATAAACCTACATACTCAATATAAAATAAAAAAAAATTAAAATTTTTGTCAATTTTTTTTACAGTTTTTAATCCCTTAAAAATGTTGGAAAAATTTTAAAAATTTGTATTTCTCCAAAAGTAAGCTAGAAAGATTCAGCTTTCGATTCTGATCAAAAATATATGGGGTCTAAAATGACTCCTTCACTGCGTTTTATGCTTCTGACTAAAATTGCAATTTCATTTTTTAGTCAATATTTACCAATATTTTTATATGAAAATTTGTCCTAAAAATCAAATCTTAAATAACTCATACCTAAGCCAAAAAGGCATTAATTTAAGTTCGAAAAGCGGTTCTGTGTTAGTTTTTAATATGTTAATAAAACTGCATACTAAATATACAGATTTTTGACAATTTTAACGATGTAACGATGTATAAAAGTTTGGAAAAATCGAAAAAAAATTTGTTTCCCTCGAAGATGGCTAGATAGATTCGCCTGTTGATGCTGATCACGAATATATATGATTTATAGGGTCAAATATGACTCCTTCACAGCTTAATATCCTTCTAACTAAAATGTGGGTATAAAAAGTCTATCAATAATGTCGATAATCTATTTATATATTTTAACGTTAAATGGGATACACACTTTTGAATATATTAGAATTGCCATTGAATTTTCTTTATATATTTTTAAGTATTTTATAACTTATATTTCCTTTTAATAATAACATTCCCCTCTCTGCTTTTCCCCATTTCCAGATACAAAATCGAAGTGGCAGGCAAAAGCCTACCCGTGCTCACCAATCTCGACAAGGGTCGCTATGGAGTGATTGTGTTCGAGAACCTGGACAAGTACCTCAACATGGACAAGTGGAATCGCGAGCTGCTGGACAAATACTGTCGCGAGTACTCCGTGGGAATTGTGGGTTTCGTCAGTTCCAGCGAGGAGACCCTGGTGGGTGCTCAGCTCCGGGACTTTCCGCTCTTTGTCAACACCAATCTAAGGTTGAGGGACGCCAGCTTGAATCCCAGTTCATCGGTGCTCCGGTTAACCAGAGCGGGCGAGACCGCTTGGGGAGCCCTGCCCGGCGATGATTGGGCAGTGTTCCAGCATAATCACAGTACCTACGAGCCGGTGGAGTGGGCTCAGCGGAATACCCAGGAATATCCGGCGGATAGTGTGGGCCAGGTGCAGCTGCCACTGACCACAGTTCTCCAGGACCGCGGTCATTTGGATGGCATCCAGAGAGTGCTCTTCGGGAGCAGTCTGAGATTCTGGCTGCACCGCTTAGTCTTCCTGGATGCCCTCAGTTACCTGAGTCATGGACAGCTCAGCTTGAACCTGGAGCGGATGATACTCGTGGATATAGATGACATATTCGTGGGAGAGAAGGGCACTCGGCTGCGACCCGACGATGTGAGGGCGCTGATAGCCACCCAAAAGAATATAGCAGCAATGGTGCCTGGCTTCCGCTTCAATCTGGGCTTCTCCGGCAAGTACTATCATCATGGAACGCGAGAGGAGAACCTCGGTGATGACTTTCTGCTGCAGAATGTCCAGGAGTTCAACTGGTTCTCGCACATGTGGAAGCACCAGCAGCCGCATCTCTACGACAACCTGACGCTCCTCATGGCCGAAATGCAACTGAACTATGCCTTCGCCTTGGATCATAATATACCCACGGATTCGGGTTACTCCATATCGCCGCATCACTCAGGTGTGTATCCCGCCCATGAGTTGCTCTACCTGGCCTGGAAGAAGGTGTGGAACGTGAAGGTGACCTCCACGGAGGAGTATCCGCATCTGAGACCAGCTCGTCTAAGGCGGGGCTTCATCCATCGGGATATAATGGTGCTGCCGAGGCAAACCTGTGGCCTGTTCACACACACCATGTACATAGACCGATATCCCGGTGGCAGGGACAAGCTGGACGAGTCCATCCAGGGCGGCGAGCTCTTCCAGACGATCGTCTACAACCCCATCAACATCTTCATGACGCACATGTCCAACTATGGGTCAGATCGTTTGGCCCTGTACACATTCCAGTCGGTGATCAAGTTCCTGCAGTGCTGGACCAACCTCAAGTTGGCCTCGGCACCGCCCATTCAGCTGGCCGAGATGTACTTCCGCCTGCACCCGGAGGAGGTGGACCCCGTCTGGGGCAATCCCTGTGACGATGTGCGGCACAAGAAGATCTGGTCGAAGACCAAAAACTGTGACTCGCTGCCCAAGTTCCTGGTGATAGGCCCCAAAAGACCGGCACCACCGCCCTCTACACATTCCTCTCGATGCACGGCAGCGTGGCAAGCAATATCGATAGTCGGGATACCTTCGAGGAAGTGCAGTTCTTCAATGGGAACAACTACTATCGAGGCTTGGACTGGTATATGGACTTCTTTCCCTCGGAGGTCCTGCCCAATACGAGTTCCCCGATGCCCACGCAGCTGGGATCGCCGAGGTACATGTTCGAGAAGAGTGCCACCTACTTTGATGGAGAGGCGGTACCCAAAAGGACACATGCCTTGCTGCCACACGCCAAGATCGTCACGATTCTGATATCGCCGGCGAAGAGGGCGTACTCCTGGTATCAGCATCAAAAGGCCCATGGCGATGTGATAGCCAATAACTATAGTTTCTATCAGGTAAGTCGTGGGGATTATGTATAGGGAGAGCTATAAGCTATAAGAAAGAATATTTCCTAGGTCTTAAACTTTATGAGGCAAACAAACGAATTTTCTGGGGATTTTAAAACTGTGTCTAAAGTTATGCATATGAGGTTTATTTTATTCCATAAGCCCTGTAAAATAAATTGGTAAAATACTTTTATTCAAGTAAATATAGTATTTTAAATCATTAAATAATATTACACAACTTCTGCTTCTTTACCTAAAAATTCTTGAATAATCACCCAAAAATGCTCAATACTTTAAATAAACCCTAGAACCGAACTATAATTAACTTCGCCTCATTGGTTACTATAGAAACATCTACCAGAGTCCCCTCTCTGGTGATTGATATCCATTTTGTATCAACTCGAGCGTATAGAAATTCCCCAAATTGCTATTTCTTGTATCTGCTGCTGCTCCCTCCTGGGGGAAGCGAAATGAAAAGAAACATTTAAGCAAACAAGAAAATTCATTTGGGTTCACCTCAAAAGCGAGTCGAGAAAAACAAAACAAATGCTACTAACATAGAAGTGAAATGAAATGAAATGAAGGAAAATCCTGTTTTAATTCAAGCAACTTGTGGCACGTCCAGCGCACACTGCAGTTCGTTGCGGCAAGTAGGCAAATCGCTTCCTTTTTTGATCCTTTGGCACATTTCATTTGAATTCCATGCCGGAAAATTTCTATTTGCACCCTGTCCGGGTCGCTTGTCCCCACAACTAACACATGTACGAATGCCTCAGATTACTCCGGCAGTTTGCTCTGACATGTGTCCTGGCGGGTCCTGGGCCAAGGCACTCAAAACTCACTCGTTGGCGCCCCCAGCTCTCCTTGTAACAGAAGGCGACAGCTTGTACACTGCGAAAATCCTTGACAATCCTTGAATACATTAGGATGGATATTCATGAAGGCAAAATATATGGTTATGAACTTGAAGAAAAGATACGCAAAGAAGGGATATTCTGTTATTAAAAATTATCGTAAAACCTCCTCTAAAAACATAGGTATTTTTATAGAGAATGTCTTTTAAAAATACTTCTTTCTTAAATATTTTAAAGCTTTAAATATATTTTGAGTGAATATTAATATATAAGCATGAGAGGAAACTAACTTCGGAAAGCCGAAATTGATTAAATTTCAATTGAATTATAAGATATCGATAACGCATCAAAAATTACAATTTTCCGGCAAATTAAAGCCGATTCCGAAAGCTGTTCTGTGCTAGTTTTTAACAGGTTAATAAATCTGCATACATAAAATACATTTTTAAAATATTAAAATTTTTGTCAATTTTCAACAGACAACAATGTCAAAAAGTCACTTAAAAAGTCTGAAAAAATTTCATTTCAAATTTTTATGCCTAGAAAGATTCGCCTGTTAAAGCTGATCAAGAATATATATGATTTATGGGGTCGGAATTGACTGCTTCACTGCGTTTTAAGCATCTGACTGAAATTATAACACCCTTAAAAGAACATAATCATAACAATTATCCCCTAAAATTTTCTTCAACTGGTACCAAATCGACACCCCTTTAACCCCCCTTCAAAAATAACTCTGATTTTAACGCACACTTTCCACTTGTGTTTCTCTCCAACCATCAACCGCACTTGGACAGGTCATAACGGCGGGCGACGCCGCACCCAGGTCGCTGAAGGATCTGCGCAATCGCTGCCTAAACCCGGGCAAGTACGCCCAGCACTTGGAGCACTGGCTGGCCTACTATCCCGCCCAGCAGCTGCACATCATCGACGGCGAGCAGTTGCGCCTGAATCCCGTCGATGTGATGAACGAGCTGCAGCGCTTCCTGAAAATCCAGCCGCTGCTCGATTATTCAAATCACCTGCGCTACGACGTGAAGAAGGGCTTCTACTGCCAGGCCGTCAGCGAGAAGCGCAATAAATGCCTGGGCAAGTCCAAGGGTCGCCAGTATCCGACGATGGATGAGCGCAGTGCCAAGATGTTGCAGCGGTGAGTAAAATCGAAAAACGCCATGGAAGAGCTTTGGGGGAGGGGGGGAGAACAAATGAGGAAAGGGGAAAACATAGAAGGTGGAACTTTGAATACTCTTTGAAAAGTTATTTTCAATATTTGAAAATATGAATATAAGATTGATTATGGTATAGCGCTGAGAATCTTTCCAAAATATCATATTGGTATTGGTATACTTTTTGGTATACCTATTTTTAAATATTGTTCTGTAAATGTAAAATGTAAATGTAATCTATGTTCATTTGAAATTCTTATTGTAAAATACAGTCGGAATCTAGCTTCAAGTGTTTCTATTAAACATGTTTCTTCAACTAACCCTTTAGAGCAAATAATATCAGCAAAACACTATATCCCCTTTAATTTCAAAGCAAATCGTTAAAGTTAGGAGCTTTATCTTGTTGGCCATATAAAAAGGTTGACATGTACTTCGATAGCATTAAATTAGGCAAATAAATCCCATTTAAACAGGGGAGTGACACAGGTATAAAGTTCCAATGACCACACCTACTGAAGCTGACCAAGAATTTATAGGTTTTAGAATCTCTTAAACTTCAGGCCACTATCAGCCGCTCAAAGGGTATTCAACAAAACAAAACAAAAAAAAGAGAAGGAAAAACGAAATCATGAAACCCCAACAAAGGTGGGAAAATGGTGAAAAGTTCGGGCCATCACTCGTGGGGCCGTGGCTGTGAGTGATTTGGGGAAGGACAGGCAAAGGTGGAGGCGGAGGAGAAGGTGTGAGAGGGAGGGGCTTCTGCTTTGAGTGAAGGATTAATGAACATATGTGACGCTGCTGCAGGTGTGGCAGGGGTGGCAGGGCAGGGGGGACACCTTCTCCTTGTATTTTTTCCTGGCCGAGAATGGGAATGTGCCACTTTGCGGCCGCTAAAAGTGCACTTCGCTGTACTGCGATTTCGTTGGTATGCCAGCTGTTGTCAGTTGACAAGGGAAACGATTTGCTGGCGGGAGGAGCACTTTCTAGGCCAACAACCACACGAAAGGGGAAAAAGGCTGGCTGTAGGATAGGATCGAGGTGGCAGTGGCTCTAGGATGTGGATGCGGAAGCGGAGATGGACAGATGGACTACTTTGTGAGGCATTCAACTGAAGTAAATGGGAAATATATCAAGGGAGGGGAAGGGTCAGAGAGAGAGTTTTAGCCAAATAAAAGTGGCCATAAGCTGGGGAAATTTGTTTCCTGCCGAGATTCCATTCGAAACGTGAAAATGTGTCAGCAAAACGGAGATGTGGATACCATTAAAAATAGAGCGAGCTGTAGAAGGGTGATTCCTGCTAAGTGGAAAGTTTATTAGGGATTTTAAGGACTCAAAGTTGATGCTGGGAGATTTTTTACAGGTCTCTGAGGCATTGAGAGCTGCCCTTTATGGGTTTTTTTTAATAGATGGATGTCGTTGGAGCTGAGAGGATTCTGACAGATTTTTGATTCCTTTATATAACTATGAAAATATAAATAAAATAAAGCAAATAACATTAAAATCGCTTAGATATATTTCCTTAAAGAACACCCAATGATTACCATAGAACATGAGTTAAAAATCAGCTTAGCCCGAAAGATTATAGGTTTTTGCCTTGAAATTTCCCACAAACAGATAATAATAATTTCCGAAGCTTTCCTAGTACCAGATTCTTGTAAAAACAATCCACAAAAGGGATATGATAGGGACAGAAAAGTATTGTACGAGTACCAAGTTGAAGTTGAAATAAAATATTCAAAAACTTGGCTAACAAAAAAGCGGCTGCGCGATAAGACCCCTCTTTCGCCGTCGATCTGCATATTTGTTCTGTCTGAGGCAGAATCCGCGGAATTTGAAATTCTAATTGCGCTTCATCCCTCTCTGTGCTGCCTGCATTTTACTGATGGAACATTTCTTTCTTTATTTTCCCGCTCGCAGCTACTATCTGAATCACAATACGGCGCTGGTGAAGCTGCTCAAAAAGCTGGGGTCGCGGCCGATACCACAGTGGCTCAAAGACGACCTGTCCACGGGCACGTGATAGCAACTCATCGGCGGCGGAGGAGCAGGACCAGGTGGAGGTGGCTCTGGAGGCGGCATCAAGTATCGCAAATTGCGGGCAAAACTCAGGAAACAGTTGCGTTGGCTGCATCTGGCGGCCGAGAGCACTGAAAAGGCTCAGTCACAACGGCGACGAAGGCTTCACAACTGACAGGACGACGAAGGGGAGGTGGAAATGTTTAACATAAGAAAAGCATATACTCGTTCCTGTTCTGAGCTCTTATTTTGATATATTTTTCTGCAATCGAAATTAATAAGGTTTAAGGCAAGACAATATCAATGAGTACGATGCGTAACGCCATATAACATAAGGGTTTACAGTAAATGCTTTAGGATTTAATTCAAATGTAACTCTCTTTAGAAAACTCAATCCATGTAAATATGTTTATCTTATTCAAACAATTTCTTTGTATTCTATATAACAAATGTATTACAAATTGTTAGCCTAAAAGGAATTACAAATGATTTATTTAAATCTATACCATCTCTTAAAATCAAATAATTTGTAAGACAAAAGTTCAAGTATACGTGTTGTTTTAATTAAAAACTCTTAAATATTAACTCTTTACAAATTGAACATAATTCTTCTGCACGTTATTTTATTTGTTCTGTATTTTGTTAACTTTAAAATTTTAAATATTATATTGTGCCAAGCCGGTTAAATTTTCAAAACATTCGAAATAACATTTAGTATATCTTTCATGAAAAATAATTAAGATGAACAAATATTTTAAAAAGAAAATTCCTAATTAAATGGTTTCCCTGAAATTGTTACATTAATAAGATAAAAAAGAATAGAGGTATAAAATTGTTCATAATAAATGTTTCCCTTACATTTCCAAAGTGTATTAAAGTTAATATATAAAACAAGCCCTTAAAAATGTATGTAACAAATATGTAACCTTATTAATTTCGCTTGCCCTTAATTACATCAAATATTAAAACAAACAGAACAAGGACGAGCGAGTACAGAGCAGCTGTAGGATAAAAAAAAACTAGGATAGATTAAGGAGGGTAAAAAATAACATAATTAGTCGCTTTAAAGTTTAAACGTAAATGCATAAATCTTGTGTTTTGTTGCTATTGCAGCTAATTAATGTCACTGCAGTTGTCACTGCTGGAGTTGTACAGTCAGGAGCGTGTGTGTATGTTGTGTAAATAGGAGCGTGTGTGCGTATTTTGTGTCTGCCTGTTTGCGCATTATAAATTATCATAAATAATATCATGAGGCATCATGAATAAATGCATAAATGCGCTTTGTTAGTTGTTTAATGTTCATCAGTTGCTAATGGCCAGCTAAGCGCCTAATTATCCATAATCCAGAGCACTTTCGTTATTACCTCAGACACACCGAATTCAGCCTACTCTCTAAGTCTAAGCCCTCTCTAAGTCCATGCCAAACTGTGAGATCTTCTTTAGCCAGCAGCTAAGTTAACGAAAGCAAGCAAACATATGTATATCTGTACTAACTACGTGTTAATATATCTGACTAGTGACTAGCGACTAGCGACTAGCGACTAAGCGTAAGGCAGCTCTCTATCCCTAAGTGTATTATAGATGTGTTTTAGCCTAAGCCCAGCCCAGCACGAGTGCGTGTGTGTAAAGCTCTAGTTGTAGTCCTAAGCGCAGCGCCTAAGCAAAGCTCTATTGTATAGTTGGATATATGCGTAACCCACGGAGGACTAGTTCAAGTTTAGATTCGTAATGCGACAATAATAAAAGCGAAAAATTATTGCAAGTGTAAAATTTTATTTTGTCCACTTTTGAAAAATTTAAATTGTGAAAAGTAAGTTAAAAAAACAAAATATTTTGGTAGATTCTCTACAACATGAATGTTTTTTATTAAAAAAATATACATTTTCTTCTGATTTACTTCATTTTTCCACAAGAAATAAATAAATATTTTATTTTAACTTCAATACCGTGAACTTTTCTGTTTATTTCAGTGTCATTAAAATGATTATCAATCAAGTTTACAAAAATGTACAAAAGTTCCACACTAATAAAAACTAAGTATTATATTTTTTAATTATTATTTACTATTATAATTATATTTATATTTGTTTGTATTCATTTGAAATATTTTAGAATTACAGCATTTTTACATATACTTACATTTACATTTTTACATACAATAATTTTTCGAAATTGCAACGACGTACCTTACATGTAATATCTAAAATCGACATGTGAAGTAGTTTACACAAAGTGTTTTTAAGAGACATCTAGCGTCGATTTCAAAAATGGCAAGAGGATAATACCATTTTGGTATATTTTACATACTTTATTATTTTATTTTTTACTTTCTTCAAAATATTTATAAGCGACATCTAGCGCCAGTCTCAAAATTTGAAAATAGTTAATATTTATTTTGGTATTTTTAATTTTTAAAGCAGGAGAGTACGTAAACTGCTTATATGACAGAAGTATTTACTACTTAACACTGCTTGCTAGCTAGTTCTTCTGTTAAGTTTCTGTAAACCAGTATTGCTATAATGTTATCTAAAAGTGAAATAATTTAAATAACAGCTTCGGGATTCAGAAAGACCCAAAACAAAGAAGTGTAAAATGCAAAAAAAAATATTTTAGTATTTTCGTACGAAAGTTCTGTTAATTTACATTCACCCGAGTGTTAACGAGAGAATATGTTACGAATTTAACATTCTACATGAGAATTCGACCTCATGTATCTGTAAACGTGTAAAATGTATAATGTTGAGTAACAGCTTTAAAATTCAGAGTGACCAAACCAAAAATACCAGAAAAATATCCCATTCTTTCAAAAACCCTAATTTCTACCAACTTTTGCGCGAACTTTTTCTTCCGCAAAAAATTTTCCAGCGAGCAGACGCGTCGGATGATTGGCTCCGCAAAAAGAAAACTTGAAACTCGAAAGCTGTCGTAAAAACTGTGTTTACGTTCGGGCCGCGTCGGTTGTGTTAATGTTTAGTTAATTTTTATTCAATTTTAAAGCTCGAATTGTTGATATTTAATAAGTGGCGGATAAAGAATAACACCGGTAAATATGGACGGCGCGTTGTGGAAACCAGAGATAACTGGCTAAAAATATATAAACTATACCTGGATATAGCACGTGCTAACAGGTTCCGCTCTTCTATTAATAAAGAATAATAGTTAATAATAACAGTAAAACTCGCGTGCTTCACCAGCCGGCTAACACTTGTCGCCAGAGAGAGAGAATTAAAGAAGAGCGTGTGAAAAGAATCAAAGAAACGGCCGCCTGCTGAATTTATAGTTGTAAAAAATTAGAGGCAGCCGCTATATCTTTCTATATATTATAAAGTACATAAAATATAGTGTGCTAATAGTGGTGGTGTGATCCTCAAGTGAAACAAATATAAGGAAATATAAATATACATATGTGCATATATAAATAACAGAAGAAGAATCGCTGGGTAAAACCGGTAATTCTCTCTCTCCCCCATCCGCTTCTCCATGCCATTTTTTCACTCCTTTTTTTGGCGCCCATACTGCTCTCCGTTTCTGTTGTTGTTGCGCCTTGTTGCATTTATTCCTCTCGGCTCACAACTTACTTTTGTTTTAGCACTCAAAAAATTAAAAATAAAGTAAAAAGTAAAGCCAACCAAATGTTCGGAGTAGAAGAGGAAATTCTTAGTTGTTTTTTTGCACGTATAAAATCTTTTGTGTTGCATTTTGGCGCTGCCTTGGATATTCGGGAAAATGAAAAGGGCACCGCTAAAAAGTTCCATGTGAAAATTCAGGAAAAGCCAACTGCATTGATACTTATATACATATGTATATATATATTTCTACTGTGAGTGTTTCATTGAATCGGTGGGAGTTGCGTTTCTTAATCATTATTTACCTTTTCCCACCACAAAAAAAAATGTAACCAGTGTTTTTGTGATTCACATCCGATCTGAAAAAATATAGGAAAGTGTAATTCGCGGTGTAGTGTACAGTTCGAGCAGCAGAAATCATGTCCAGAAACAAGGCCGCCATGGTTAGCGCCTTCCGGCTGCTCCTCCGCCCGTCTCCCGCCCACAGGAATATTGCCCTGCGCCTGGCCCCTGTCACGACCTTCGCCCTGGTAAGTGCCAACGCCTCCCCCACCTTCCAATAGATTATCTATACCCCCGGCAACTAAATGTATAAATACCAAAGGGCAGAAACTAGCCGGGACAAGCCGCGCTCCGGGAGGGCAGAATGGGAATCTATAAAAAATACACGCACTTGTTATTCACATGTGAATAAGCGCATGGAAACAGTCGAGGTTGAGGTAATAGCACCTGCACAGGTTGGGTTGTTAATAATAATGTGTGTGGGGAGTTGCGTATTTTAATCGTCGAAAGTTAATATATTTAGATATATTTTAATACGTTTTAATGTTTACATACAATTAATCAGTGCTATTTTCTTGACCTCAACTGTTACACTGCAACTGTATTTGAAGAGAATATTTCCATTCATGTTACATTCCCATTGCCATTTAGAAAACATCCAAAGTGCGTGTGTTGACCAATTTCTTATGTGTGTGTGTGTGTGTGTGTGTGTTTCGGTGTATGGCACATTTTGTGCTTTGGAAATTATTAAAATTATGCAAAGAACCAGTCCGAAAATACAAAGTACAAACATACACACATTCCTTCATACCATATGCTGTATGTTTGTCTTTCGCCGCTTCCCATCTTTCGTACTCTCTCACTCTCTCTCTCTCTGCCCTGCAAATCGTTCTCTCTAGCTTCAGCTCCCAACTTCAGCTCAAACTGCAACTCCAACTCTCTCTCCCAATCTGAATATTTAACTCTCTCCCGGTGAGTTGTGAGTTGTTCTTGTTGGTGCTTTTGAACTTGGCACCTGCGCGTCCTCTCTCTCAGCACCAAAAAAAAGGGCGAAGAAACAACAACAAAAACAGCTGTCAGAAATGTTTATCATCACATGACAAGATGAATGGGAGAGGGGAACCCGCAAAAAGAAGAGTGGAAGTGCCGTTGATGTATGAGTGATTGTGGTAATGTTATTTGTAACGAGAGAGGGAGAATCTGAGAACAATTAGCACTCGTTATGGCATCTCGGGCACTCAAAAGCGTAGGTCATTGATTTAATTCGCTTTTGGATGAATCACTTCGATTTAAGCGATGCTGGGGCTGATTTTATTGACTAAGGCAGCTGCCGCCTTATCAGTTGGAATTTCAAAGTAAGCCTGGTGAATCAGCGACATACTCAGAGATAAAAGCTAAATAAAAGTTACAGTCAAGCTTGGCCAAGAGGAATTTGATGCTGCTTACCACAACATACCAACAAATCTTCTTTTAGCAATTATTATTAATCATTGAATATATAGTATGAATATATTTAAGTAATATCAAATTATTTTAATATATTTAATGATCGCTTACTGAGGTTGCACTGTAACCATTCAACCGGCGTGTACTCTATTCTACTATTTCTTTTCTGACAAACTCGATTTGCATGCGAAATGATTAAATACGCCGTTATTTGCTCGGCTCAAGTGTCGGCATGAGCGCGGGCGGCTCTTGAGCTTTTTTTTTGTGTTTGCCAAAAGGAGAGAGAGAGAGTACGTGAGTGCTGATAGCAGCGGGAGAAGTGGGAGAGATTTCGTACGGGGATTATTTACATTTTAGCAGGTTATTTGCTCGACTTTTCGTTCACTTGCATCTGTGTGTGGGTGTGTGTGTGTGTCTCAATTTGCATTTGTTTCGTTTTTTTATCTGTTGTTGCCCTTTGTTAGCTGATTAAAGCAAATAGGGTAACAAAAAAAATGACAAGATAACGGGCTTAAAAAAACAAAGGTGAGTGTGACACAGTGCCAAAAGTTAAAGGGTTAAGTTAATACCAAGTATTTGTTTTCTTTTCTATCGGGAACTTGACTTTTTTCGATAGCTTTTCTTTATTATTATTTTTGCTTAAACCTTTATGCTGAAAATAAGATAATATATTGAACATTTACTGTACTTAATGCTCCCCATTCTGGATATATAAGTCGAGTTCTTGGCCCAGATCTCCCAATGTGACATCTTAACTTGGTATATAGCATTTATCTCTCAATTTAGAACACGCGCCACTTACCAATGACTCTGATTTTTCACTCCGATTTAAAGCTAACTCCTTGGGGTGGGAAAAGTAAATAAAATCTGGGGACAAGGCTAAAAAATATCTATGTATCTGACAAGTACAAAAAGTAACGTCACTATTTTCGGGGGGAAAACTCCACTTTTCCGTTGTTCGTGGGGCAGAAAAACTTTTATTGGCGCCATTTGGTCTGTCGCACAATACCCAAACACAGACACTCACACACACACACAAAAATATACACATTCAGACACAGAACGTGTGTTGTTACAACTCCCTTTCCCTATTTTCACCCGAAAATCCGATTCTGCTGTGTCTTTCCGGCATTTCCTCTTCAATGGGATTTTTGGCTTGCCCTCGAATTTCGGGTTTTTGCATTTTGTTTCCATTTGCCCTCCAATATTCCTGTTTCCGATTCGCTCCAAAGGGGCGCTGGGGCGTGGCACCATCACACACATACATATATACTGAACAGCGATGGTTCGAAAAATGGGATATTTAAAAAATGATTCACCAATTAAGTATTGAAACAATTTACCATTTATAACATTTTTTATTAATTAAATGTTCTAAGTTAAAATTTACTATATTGGTGGAATATCTGATTGTATAAACCTCTGTTATTATATCGTATTAATTATTCGGTTTTTAAATTAAATTCTTACCCATTATCTATTAACTCAACCCCTCCTGTTTACAAACAATAATTTTTTCTCTCTCGGCCAACAATTATTTTTCCGTGCTGCTACAAAAAGGGGTCGATGGGCGATCAATTGATATTTGATGAAAAATAAAAGCGTTATGATTCAGGCTTTGGGAACCGGCTTTATTTGTGCACATCTCCATGTGCAAGCTGGGGAGAGTGTGCATTCTTAAATATGTATATAAAGTCTGGCAAACAAAAGCAACAAAGTACGAGTATTTATGCAAATAGGATTCATCATATCCAAAGTAAGCTCGCGCTGGTATATATGTATTTATATTGCACATAATACAGCCAAAGGTCAGCGGCTTAAAGCCAGGGCTTATGGTCATTCGTTGCATATTGTAGGAATGGTAGTTTTGCAAAAGCTTTTCATTAAATGAAGCTTAGTAGGTGATACTTAAAATTCACTTTTCTGCAGCTGCAAATTTTCCCCTTGCTTCGGCACGCTTTTTCACTTTTTATGGTTTAAGTTTGAAGATAGTTTTTGTTAGAAATAAAAATGTGTTACATTGTTATATCCGAAAACTTTCTAAAACCTCAGATCTAGATTAAATTAAATAAATATATATTTCTTTTTTACAAATTTATGTATGCTTTTTCTACACGTTTGTATTTAGTATCATTTAAGAAAAAGTAACTCTAGGTGATTTTTCCGCATCCTTTTATGCTTGTTTACCAAGTTACCTTAAAACTTGTTCTCTGCGCTTTTTACAAATACTTTCTAAAAACCGCCCTTCTCTGCGATTCTCATAAGTTATACCTAAGGGGAGAAACCACTTGGCCCCCAAGAATAGTTTTTCAATCTTCCCCAAGCATCATTTAACCTCATTCGCAAGTTTTTGGTCGCTAATTCCCCGCAAAAGTCAAAGTTATCCTTGCAAACTTGAGTAGGCAGAGCAAAAACCCTCTGCCTATCAGCAGTTTGTCCTTGACTTTTTTTCTAATCCACTTCTTGAGTACTATCAACTATTGTTTGATCAGCAAGTTTTTGCGGCCCTCACCTAAGGGTCTCTACACACCAAGCATTCGACTTAACCCGTACACAAGCAGTCAGGCCGCAGAAAATCTGCATAATATGGTAGAAGGGGGCTTTGCCCCGACACCCAGCACCCACCGCCCAACATCATCCTCAGGACATTATCCTTCTTCTCCGCAGGACTGTGCCTGTGCCTTGCAAACTTGTGCACGTTCTGGCACATTTATCTGCGCTGCGAAATCTTTGCTTAGCTATCAGGGGAAAACCGAAAAGCAAATTTCTCCACCAGACGTTGCAAAAATATTTGCATACTACATATATGCAAGGATATATTTAAAGCGGGGAGGACGAGGCCCGGATTATACGCGTAATTAATGCCATCGTAAAGTACCGAGGGGGGAGCAGTAAGAGACGAACTTCATTAGGGCCTGTCGCTGGCGCTTCATCAGCAGATCTTAAAGTTATGCCTCCGAAATTGCCGGCATAACTTGCTGGTAATAAGTATTCGACTGACAAATAGCTGAAAGCATGAACATCTCGGGGCCATACATTAAACTTACACTTTTAGAAATGTGTAAAGTCGGAATTTGGTTTAATAATAATGCACTAGGACTTTAAGTTTAATTGGAGTTGGTTACATTTGGTAAATTATAATTGTATGTACTTTTTAAGAGGCTTACTTTCGAAATAGAACAATTGGAAAATTAAACTTGGAGTCTTAAAGCTTTATTTTTGTCTGTACTTTAATTCTGGTCAATTAGTTACTCGATTTAGTTATCTAATAACTGAAGTGGTCTATTACTTAGGGACTCTTATCTGTCATCGCAGTGTATTTATATTTCTGTTTATCTTTCGGCCATCTCAACAGCCTGGTAGCCATGGTAGCAAGAGTAATATAACTTTAGCTGAGTTAGCCCTTGCGTGTTATGGCCACTAGTGCTGCCCTGCTCTTGACTTTTGGTGTGGCAAGGAGGCGCCAACCCCGCATGTAAGCTCCACTACAACTTGTCAGATAACCCACCCCACCCTTTTCGCCACAGTCCATAGTTAAACTCCCCTTGTGGATCCCTAAACTCCAAAGATAAACCCCCGTTCTGTACTTGTCGGTTTCAATGTTCGCTTTGATGTTTATCTCATGACTTTGCACCGAGCTGGCCTGCATGTGTACCTAATGGATACAAGTGGTCGAAAGCCCTCTTTATATCCCGATTTCACCCCCAACAACTCCCTGCACTTGTAATCTAATCCCAACCGAAACTATTTGCAGTGCAGGTTAAACTGTGAGCGTCAGGGGAGTAAGAAGAATGCAGTGCAC